CTTCTTTGCTTTACACCATTTCAACTTACAAAAAGTTTCGTAGGAATGCTCTACCTCCAGTGGGGAAAGCTGTATTGAAAAGAGTCCAAGAGCAAGCTACATTCATTTACAAGGTATAGGTGAGGGGGAGTAGGCTTGAAATGATGTCATTTTTCTGTAAAACACAGAAAGGTCTATATTACAAAGGCATACCTAAGAGGCAGACTTTTATCAACACTCATAGAAGCACTTGGGATTAATTTTTTCCATTTGGGACTAGAACACTCAATAGATTTCAGCACAGAAATGCCTTCCTCTAACAACGACTTCATCCAAGAAGCCCTCTCATATCGCTGTTGGGACACACAGCCAGCTTCCTTATACCCTAGAAGAGGCAGAGAGAATACAATGAGGGAGCTTTTAGAGAGCAGACAGGATCGCAGGGCTCAGGAAAGCAAGAGTACCTCGTAATGTGAGTCGGCTGTCGGCGTTATCAGGGCGCAGAGACAACCGGAACTCCACCCGGCTGGTAAACATGCGGTAGGGCTCATTGGTGCCCAAGGTGGTGAGGTCATCGATCAATACGCCTATGTAGCCTTCTGTTCGGCTAATGACAAAGGGAGGTTTGCGGCTGACCCGAAGACTAGCGTTGATTCCAGCTATCACACCCTATGAGAGGAGGGAAAGGGTTAAAAAAGCCATCTGAACAGGTCAAAGAGTGATCCTACTCGGAACACCAACGGGGAAATAGCAGGTCCTGTTCATAAGGGATTGTTTTATCATTTTATTGGGAGTTCTTACAAATATCGTAACATTCCATAGTTTAGTCACATCAAGCAGTATTTTACACTTGCTACCACAATCAGTTTCAAAACATTCTCCTCCTTCTTGACCTCCCTGATATCCGCTCTCCGAGCAGCAAGTATTTTAAAGTCCTATTATATACAACGGAGCCCTGGTGGCAGAGCGGGTGATGTGTTGGGAGGCTGGCCACAGTCAGCAGCTCAAAACCACCAGCTGCTCCTCGGGAGAAAGAGGAAGCTTTCTACCCCTGTCAAGAGTTACGGCCTTAGAAACCCACCAGGACCGAAACCCATAGGGTCACTCGGAGTTGGAATTGACTCGATGCAGTGAGTTTGGTTTGGTTTTATTAGACACAATAAAACCATTTCCTTAAACTTTGAAACAAGCAGTCTCTTGTTAATTAGGAGTATATTTAAGATCTATATAGTTAACAAAATAGACCTTAAAAGGTAGAATACCAGTTAAATAGTACCGTTGTTCACAATCATGTTTGAATAGGTTCTTACTTGAGCTGCAGCTTCCTCGTAACCAGTGGTGCCATTTATCTGTCCAGCAAAAAAAAGGCGTTGAACCAAATGAGTCTCAAGGGAAGGAGTGATCTGCCGGGGGTCAAAGTAATCGTACTGAACACCGTAGCCTGACCAAAGAACAAACGGTACAAGATCAGTGGACACGGAGCGCAGGCAACAATACACAAATTATCCTCACATGCTTTTCAAAATCAGGTTGTTTTCATTTTCATACTTCATTCTTTTATTCTTATTCGCTTAGTTTGATAAGTGATAACTCTAATCAGTAGGTCTATAGAGACAGTAACCGGATAGGTGGTTTCTTAGGGTCACGGCAGGGGAAGCTGGGGGAAACTGGGGAGCTAATAATGAGTATGAGGATGAATAAAATGTTCTAAAATTGACTGTGATGAGTGTACAACTCTATTTTACACGATTAAACCACTGGATTGTATGGCATGTGAATTATATGTCAATAAAAACATAGAAAGTGTTAACTCTAGTTTTAAGTAATTACGCAGGTAACTGGACTCTAAGCTAGG